TAAAAAGTTTATTTTTTAATTAAAAAATGAATAATATGACATGACAATGTTTTTATGTGTCATGTATAGTTTGAGAAAATAAGCAAAGTTGGATGATATTGTAGTCCTAAAACAAACATAAGTGATATTACTAGATAATTTTTCAAACATAGGTGACTATCTAGGGAAATTACTCAACACTCATATAATTGGTTCATCTTATATTAAAATTTTCTTGTAATTGTGAATTTACTATTTCACTGCACATCACATGGTACTATAATGTTTCACGAGCAGTACGGTCTTTGTAAATATTCTTAAAGTATGACCGATTATGAAAGTAAATCGAAGCAATAAAAAGGATCTAAGTAACAACGAAAAACAAAATTGTCGATGACGATTGTGAGATAGAAAAGAAGAAGGAAAAGAAGAATCGAAAACTAAGTAACAATGGAAAACAAAACTATCGACGGCGATTGTGAGATAGAAAAGAAAAAGAAAAGGAAGAACCGAAAACTAAATAACAACGGAAAATAAAATTATCGACAGCGATTGTGAGATAGAAAAGAAGAAGAAAAAGAAGAACCGAAAACTAAGTAACAACGGAAAACAAAACTATCGACGACGATTGTGAGATAGAAAAGAAGAAGAACCGAAAACTAAGTAACAACGGAAAACAAAACTATCAACAACGATTGTGAGATAGAAAAGAAGGAAAACAAGAACCGAAGATTAAGCAACAACGGAAAACAAAACCATTGACTACGATTGTGAGATAGAAAAGAAGAACCGAAAACTAAGTAACAATGGAAAACAAAATTATCGACGGCAATTGTGAGATAGAAAAGAAGAAGGAAAAGAAGAACCGAAAACTAAGTAACAACGGAAAACAAAACTATCGATGGCGATTATGAGATAGAAAAGAAGAAGAACCAAAGACTAAGTAACAACGGAAAACAAAACTATCGACGATGATTGTGCGATAGAAAAGAAGAAGGAAAAGAGAATCGAAAACTAAGTAACAACGGAAAACAAAACTATCGATGGCGATTATGAGATAGAAAAGAAGAAGAACCAAAGACTAAGTAACAACGGAAAACAAAACTATCGACGATGATTGTGCGATAGAAAAGAAGAAGGAAAAGAGAACCGAAAACTAAGTAACAACGAAAAACAAAACTATCGACGACGATTGTGAGATAGAAAAGAAGAAGAAAAAGAAGAACCGAAAACTAAGTAACAACGAAAAACAAAACTATCGACGGCGATTGTGAGATAGAAAGAAAAAGAAGAACCAAAAACTAAGTAACAACGGAAAACAAAACTATCGACGGCGATTGTGAGATAGAAAAGAAGAACTGAAAACTAAGTAACAATGGAAAACAAAACTATCGACGACGATTGTGAGATAGAAAAGAAGAAGGAAAAGAAGAACCGAAAACTAAGTAACAACGTAAAACAAAACTATAGACGGCGATTGTGAGATAGAAAAGAAGAAGGAAAGAAAGAACCGAAGACTAAGTAACAACGGAAAACAATACTATCGACGGTGATTGTGAGATAGAAAAGAAGAACCGAAAACTAAATAACAACGAAAAAAAAAAACTATCGACGGCATTGCATTTTTTTGACAGAGATGAAAAATTGAGATGAAGGAAAATGTCACTATTCACTAGTATTTAAGTAAGTACGGCGCGTGTGAGATTATTTTATCTATACGCGTAGAGGGTATAATAACCGTCCTTTAGGCTCCACTATAGTCACAGTTCAAATTGTTAGGGTTTTTCCCTATATTCCTTATCTTATTTGAGGTTTATTTTTTCCTTAAAAAAAATTCAAAGTATTATCATAAATGTTTGAATTTTTCTAAAAGAAAAATATAATTTTCTTTCATATTTGGTTTATTCTTTCCTTAGAGGAAAAATTTGGAGATCTATAAATTGAATATCCCTATTTTCATAGCAGAATACAATAAAATCCACAATGTAATCGTTTAGAGATTTTAGTTTATGGGGAGATTTATTCTTTCAACAGTTTTAGTATTTTCTTTTATATTAGTTTTTCATATAATAATATTATGTTTTTAGTTAAGTTTTTGTCATCTAATTTAGTATCATATGATTTGTAATTGTAAGCTTCCGCATGACACCCTAATTACCTTCATAACCCAACACAAATCTCATGTCATTGGAGCAGTGAGATTTCATGTCCAGCTTAATTTTCTGTTAGGAAAAATCGTTTTATTATTATTTTGAATGTATGAGTTTAGCAGTTTTAGTTAAAAAATATCAGATAATTGCATGTTAGTGATATTTCAAGTGTTCAAGGTTTTATTTAATTAATTCAAATTGTGTAACATAAGTGACCAAGTTATAATTTTTCGTTAAGAGGATTTAGAATTCACAAAAAATATATATATACAAAGAAGCTAAGAATAACAAATATTTAATATATTAGGGGCAATTTGGTCGTTGACAAAAATAAATAGTCATGATCGATAGAAATTTTTGTTTTGCTAGCACATAAAGGATAATACCTAAATTACTTAATTTGAGATAAAATAATAATTAAAAACAACATATTCAATGAAATTTCACAATGAGATTTGAGGAGTAGAACTTCGTATTGATTGATTCGGTTTAATTTTGACGAAATTTAACAGTTATCAGTCTGTTAAATATGCAAAATCGTTATAGAACCATTAAGATATTGACTTATCAATTATTAGTTTAATGCTTATTGATCATTATCGGTTCGGTTATTAGTTTAACCATCAAGATTTGACACAAAAAAATCACTTAGAAATAAGATAACATATCAAATAAATTATGGACATAAATTGACAGATGACATCTTGTTCAAAAGCAAACACTGCCACATTATAAAAGGAAAAGGATAGAAGTATCTCTCTAGACTATGAATCAAATCTCAGAGACACACCTTAACTAAACTAAGGTCCTATTAGCTGATGAACTCATTTTTTTTTATAATTTTGTGAAATTTTTTGCTTAATGAGTTCAACTGATCTTATCTGAATATGTAGCTTCGGTCATGTACACACATTCATGACGTGTCACTAAATCAATGGTCATACAATATGGGTTGGGATTCACAAGATAAGAAGAAAATAACAAGGATTAAAAGGAAGAATATATATATATATATATATATATATATATATATATATATATAAAATGAGAAAATTAAAATCCAAAGTCAGATGATTTCTGGAATTAATTGATTTTGTTTATCCTTTTCTGAAGTTTTGCATAATATCTGAGTCAATTATGATGATGTTTGTAGGCCCTGTTGAGCCATAGACATACATATGTATTTAGTTGTGTCAAAAATTTAACACTCAAAAGACCGTTCGGTCAATTTAATTATAAAAAAATTGACTACAAATATTAAATTTCAAATCTAGTAATTTAAACGATATATAATATGAGTGGAGAAGCTATAATTTTTACTAAGAAGATTCAGAATATAAAAAAGTAAAAACATAATCAGTAAGTCAAGAATATTTTTATATACGTGAAGACACACATCAAGAAAATAAATTGACTTATATCTACAAAGTATAAATATTCGATGAATAATGAAAATGATGATTTCACCACTGATCAATAAGTTCGACGGTAATTTGAATACAAATAATTTAAAATTTTAATTCGTGATCCCTCAAATATGTATACACACATGTCCAAACAATAAATTGACTTATATCTACAAGTATAATTTTTTGATGAACAATGGAAAAGATGATTTCACCACTGATCAATAAATTTAGCGACGATCTGAATACAAATAATTTAAATTTTAAATCCGCCTCGATAGACACTAAAATTTAACATATTGCAAAGGTCTTTGTAGTGTTGGAAGTATACAACATATGAACCCTACTTTTGTTGGATTTTTTTGTGCCCATATCTTGTTTTTTTTCTGTTATCCATTGAGATTTTCCATGTTATAAATGTCAGAAAATTAAAAATTACAAAATTAACTAACACTACAATGACTGATTATGGGAAATAAGTTCTTTTTCTTTCTAAGTCCACCACTCATGTTTGCATTTTTCTTAACCTAGATAGATTCATTTATTTTCTTGCAACAAGTGTGTTTTGTTTTGCATGGACATGAAAAGTACTATAGTAGTATGCGTTCTATGAGTTCAACTAGATTTATTATTTTTTTGCGTAAATTATACAAGTATAAAAGGGGTAGTTCAGAATACGAAACATGAGTCTAGGGAAGGGATATGACATCATACACAGTCTACTTTGACGCAAGCTATAATTCTATATTGCTGCTTCAAATATTATTCCTTTCTCGAACTGTACATGTATATATATGAAAATAATGAATATATATAAAAGGTATAAACTAATTTTGAACCCGATATATTTAAATTCTGAATTTATCACTGAACAGTACTATACTATATAATATAATATATAGAGCTTAATTATATGTCTCTTTGTTTCAAGCATATAGCTAGATTTCTTTCTATTCTTGCGAGAAGTGTGTTTTGTTTTGCATGGACATGAAAAGTACAAGGGAGAATGGGATGTGTTACGTGACTTCAACTGAATTCATTATTTTATTATTTTTCCTTCGAATTGTACACACATAAAAAGGGATATTTTGGTGCACGAAATATAATACGTTCACACAAGGTTATCGAAAAGGCTAGTTGCATGCACCCCAATAAAGTGTGATGTAGACAATTTATCCAGACGCAAACATCAACAATTGATTTTATCGCTCGAACTCATGACATGTATAACTAATAACTTTATTACCATTACTTCAAGACTCCCCTCTCAAAAAAATTTAATTGCATATATATAATAAGTCCAAACTTATTTTAGTCTCAAACGTCTAAATTCTGAATACACCGCTAAACAACTAATACTACTATATAGAGCTTATATGTCTCTTTAATTTATTTCAATCATATATCTTGCTTCTATTTATCTCTACATTGACATAGCAAAATATTTATTTTGTGAGAGTCAAATATGGATTCAAATTCTTCTGAATATCTTCTAAACCATGCAACAACTCTTCCTTCTGTTTATTATCAAACCAATAATAAGGAGAATGGTAATTTTATTGATTTGGGACTAAGTCTTAGAGCTTTGCAGCCTGAGGCTTATTACCCATCTACTCATGGTATGTTTGTGTTTCCATCTTTTATTTCTAAAGTTTTTTCTTCAATCTATTTTTTGGTACCACTCGGTGTTTGGTATCTCATATCTGTATTACGGTTCGACTTATTCAGATTTGTGTTGTATAAGACCTATTTAAGAGAGCATCACTCCTTATATCAAATTTTTTCATACCTCGAGACTCTGGTTAAGGATAGAACATCCCCGAGTCTTAACCTTAATCATTGTATACTAATAAGAAGTTATAAGATTCATGAGTATAATTTTATTTGAGAATAATTAAATTTTGGATTTTTTTTTGAATTAATGGCATGTTTTTATAGTCATAGAAGTGATATGACAAGTTTAAAGTTCGTTTGACTAAGCTTTTAGGAAGTCAAAAGTGCTATGTCAAAATTCGTTGATATTATTATTGAAACTAATACTTAACGGACTTAATCTATGTTGTTCGGACTCTTCAAAAATGTCATCAGGTATGTGCCAGACTCTTCAAAAATAGTTCATTTTTTAAGGATTCGACACGAATGTGGCAACATTTCTGGAGAATCTGAGCAACTTAGGACTTAATTGTTAAGTACTAATTCATGCAGGTGGCTATGATGAGTTGATAGATTGGCAACATTTGCATCCACAATTAAACAAAAATTCAAGAAGTGAATATCCTACAAATTTTATGGAAATTAATAATTATGATGATGAAAGTGAAGGAATTCAAAGCAAAGAGAGATGGGAATATGTGAAAGTTAATATGGATGGAGTTATTGTTGGAAGGAAAATTTGCATTCTTGAACATTCAAGCTATCCTAGTCTTGCAATACAACTTGAAGACATGTTTGGTATGTTCCAAAATATCAAAATTATCATTTATTATTACACTATTATTAGGCCATTTTAAATGTAGTGGTAGGTAGGGGTGTCAAATAAGCAGATTACGCTGAATTTGACCAGGTCAAAATTGAATTAATGAATGAGCAAGTGAATTAATGACCTCCCCCCCCCCCCCCCAAACATTATTGGGTTGAGATAGATCTAGATTGAGTTTGGTCATAGCCTAACTCGTCCAACTCTTACCAAGTTTTATTTTTTATTCGTTTTTTTAAATAATATGTTTAATTACCTCATAATTTATTTAATTACCTCATAATTTGTTTCTTTTATTTATAAATGGTATAAAGGAAAACAAAGTATGGATGGGCTAAGGCTATTCCAAGATGGTTCAGAGTTTTCATTATTTTACAAAGACAGGAATGACCAATGGAGGATTGTTGGTGATGTTCCATGGAAGTGAGTATTTTTTTTAATCATTAAGTACTTTTTGATATTATTAATACATGTAGGTAGGTAGGGACGATAAAATTAACCTATGCAAATATGATTTGCTTGATCGGTCCAAGTTCAACCGAACTAATGATTGGATGATAAAATTAACCTATGAAAATATAATATGCCTGATTGGTTTAAGTTCAACTGAAATAATGATTCATTCATTTGTCTATTTTGTTGTGTGCTTTATTCTATGAAATTTAAAAATTAAACTATTTGAACTAGGTCTAGATGATTAATCCAAAATGATTCGTGAAAAATATTTTTGTAAAATATATATTTTTTTTGGGTAAAGGGATTAAATTAAACCCCTTTTCTTGAGTTTACATGATTTAACGTGATAACATGTTTGTTATCATTTTATAAAGTTCCAATTAATGTTATCATCATATAGATTCATCTTACTTTATAACTAACTTGATTATTTAAATATTTTTGGTATCGTTAATGTATAAAACTTAAATTCTTATTATTTATACAGTGAATTCGTAGATCGAGTGAAGAGGCTAAGAATTATGAAGAAAGATGAAGCATTCTTCTCCAATTGATCATCTTTTACTAAGTTCTATTTGATAATTTCTGACTTATTTTAGTTGTATTAATATTTCTATTAATTGAGTGACCATATTAATTAGGTCCATGGTACGTAATATATAGCTTCTGTGGTATTGTATTAATAGTTAATTGTTAATTTCTACATCTTAAATAGATCAATGTTTTTCTTTTCACTTCAAAATATTTTTCCATTAAACTTGATTATAAATTTGAAGATTATAAGATGATAGGATTTTTTTAAAAATAACTTTATTGTAAACCAAAATATTTATTAGACAATTATCTATAGCTGGCGAGATCGAACTTAATAGCGGGCTTGTAAACCAAATAAAGGCATTGGGGTGATTGGATCGATATTGGGCCAACCCATAAGGTTGGGCTTCCCTAGCCTACCCTATCCATGAACAAAAAAAGGATTTGTAAAAAGTCGAGTTACTCGATACCTTTTCTGATAATGAGATGAATAGTGAAATTGCGTGTAAAATGACAAAAATCTAAACAAACATGAACAAGTTTTAGTGAATAATTTTTTTAACTTCCTATTATTAAGATTTGGTTTTAGCCTTTAGGCCATACATGTTATATGCAAGGGTAAAACTAAAGTTTTGCTTACAAATTTGATTACAGAGAATGAAACTCCTAAATTTACATTTAAAAATTCATCTAACATGTATGACTAAATTATCACAAGACCAATAAATTGTATTTTTCTAAAATTCAATATCTATAAAACTTAAAATCCTAATTTTACTTTTTGATGCAATATGTTAGTATTGTAGGATCCTTTAATTAATGAAAAAGACCTTTCACCTTTATATTCTTGCCTGTCCATGATCCAACCACGAAGACAACTAAAACTAAATGAACTTTAGACATTTAAAAGGAAAGAAAAGAAAAGAAAAAGGCATGGGCTAAGATTTATTTATTAGTTTCACACTCGATATTCAGTATTCGTGTTGGAGTTCGACTAAATTCAGATTTTCGCTTTGTAATGCTCATTTCTAGAGGACAGTCATCCCAACAAAAGTTTTTCATTTTCAGGAGCTCAAACTCGAGATCTTTAGTTAAAGATGAAGTGATCTCAACCATTGCACTACAATCCACCATGCTTATTTGGTACTTGTATTTGAGTCTGACTAAATTCATATTGCTCATTGTAATGCACATGATTTCTGGGGGGGGGGGGGGGGTGGAGGGGAATAATCCCAACATAATTTGTTCATTTCTAAGAGCTCAACCCCGAAATCTTTAATTAAAGATAAAGTGATCACTATCATCTCACCACAATCCACATGTTGATGGCTAATACATTATTATCACTAGGGGATAAGGCACAAGTACCCCCTAGACTATGACCGAAATTCTAGAGACACATCTTAACTAAACTAAGGTCCTATTATCCCCCTGAACTTTTTTTTTTTTTTTGTAATTTTATACACCCTTTTGGCCTAACATGGCCTCCAAACATCTCTCACGCGCCTCACCTAAGTGGAGTCACGGAGTGTGCCACGTTAACCAAAAGGTGTACAAAATTACATGAAAAATGAGTTCAAGGGGGTAATAGGACCTTAGATTAGTTAAGGTGTGTCTCTGAGATTTCGATCATAATCTAGGGGTACTTTTCTCTTATCCCTTATCACTAGGATGCTAAGAACTATTTGTACTAAAAGAAAAATGTACATTTCCAATCATTAAGTCAACAATGATGAATGAATTATGTATATAATTTTAACTATGAAAGCTAGCTAGCTAGCTAATATTGTGTATTAAAGGAGTAACAACAAAGGACAATGCCCATGAGAAGCAAGCTGTAACATATCCAAGTCTTTGATTGATTCTTTAATTTGTTGCCCTAATTTTCTAATACAAGAAAAATATAGCAATTGAAGTCATTTGAGGGGACACTTTCCCAATTTGAATATGGCCCATTATTTGTGGACTTTCCACTACTATATATCAAAGTATGGTGACATCTACTCTTCTTTTTAACTACAAAAGAATCATTACCGCAAGACATAAAGGAGGAGGTCATAAGTATTTATATAGTGAAATTGATTTTCGACAGAATGAAAAAGACATGTAATAGAATCGTAACCATGTGCTGCTTCGTGCAAAGATAGTCAAACAAAGAAAAAAAATATCTAAAATACATGATTTTAAAGTCGAAATTTTCTTTTACTATAAATTTCATTGTTGTCGATATTGACATGTAGAACAGGACTCTATCAAACTATGGAGTGAGTGATTGTGTTACTAATCTGTAGCTAAATAGATCATAACTAACAAAAAAATTATAATTCTTCGATAATCCATCATTAAATAGAAAACTAACATTTTCTATTTGTCGCCGAGGGTGCGGATGGTTATAATGTCTCATCTTTAATCAGAAGTCTCTGATTTGAGTTATAAGTATGGAAATATCCTAATAGGTAAGATATTCCTCTTTAGTGAGTCTTACTTGGCTCAATTTGGATTAACCAAACCCCCAATAATGATGGATATCGGATACCGACCCAATATTTATGTATTAAAAAGGGATAAGGGTCTCCAAAATATCTCAACTTTGGTCGGATTTGTTGTTGCGATACTAAACTTTCATAATGACTTATTACCTCCCTAGACTATTTAATACCGTATTTTTTACCCCCCTGAACTATTTAATAGTGTATTTTAAAGGTATATAGTGCCCACGTGGACACATTACTATTTATAATTTTGCATTATTTTTTATGTCCACGTGGGCAAATATATATGTTTAAAATACGGTATTAAATAGTCTAGGGAGGTAATAGGTCCTCATGAAAGTTTAGTATCGCAACAACAAATTCGACCAAAGTTGAGGTATTTTTCAGACCCTTATCCCTATTAAAAATGATTACTTCATCTGCCAAAAAATTAACAAAATTCTTAATGTAATTATTTGGTGAATCGTATCTACTATTCTTGACTAGGAATATTAAAATTCTAAAATATTGGGAAAAAAGTTGTTGATTGATCCTAATTAATTATACACGAGATCAATTTTTTAATGCTTCTTTTTATTGGTTAAAACTATATGTTGGAAAAAATATTGGTAAAATTCAACTTTTATTCTAACCTTTAATCAATTAAACTATATGTTATTGACCCCTTCATGCATAAAAGATGTTTTATTTGACTATTTATAAAATTATATTACAGTATAAGCTTAACGATAACACATGATTAATTGAATGGTAAATCGATCAATAATTATGATAGATAAAAAATTTATTTTCAAGAAAGACGAAGTTAACCTTTTGATGATTTTCTTGATAATTTTAACGATTATTTGTTTTTGTTTATTATTATCTTGTACAAAATTATTATTTATGTTATTGAATTAATCTTTCAAGTAGGTATACTAAAATTCTCCCATTGTAGTTGGCATGAATGGCGCAATTATTATTACATTCCGACAATAAAGTTTTATTTTAAAAAGTCAAATATTATGTAAGTAAAGTAAAAAGAAATTAAGACCAAGAATATATCAAGCTTTATACACACAAAAAAAAGAAGATAAATTTATTTAATGGTGTACAGCCATAAAGTTTCAACTGATTAAAAAGACTAGCCATATCCAAATAAAAACCCTTTAGATTTTTTTTATTTTTTTTGCACTTTCATACATAGTCATTAAGGGTGTGTTTGGTAGTTAGAGAATATTTTTCTGAAAAAGGTAACTTTTTCACTTATTTTTTAATACTTGATCAGTAAATAAAAAATTATTTTCTCAAAAATAATTTTACATTTATAATCTAGGCAAATATTATGGGATTGACAGTTGAGGTCGAGCTAATGGGTATGGGTGTGGGGTTTATGTAATAGCAAAGCTAAGAATTTCGCTAAATGTGTTCAAGATTTTAATATATATATCTATAGGAAATATATTTGACGTATATACACAATATTAGAACTTTGTGTATATATATAAAACTTTTCAACGAAAGGTGTTCGGCTGACAATCCTTCAATCTATATAGCTATGCTACTACGGCGATTGGGGGGGGGGGGAGAGAGGTTGGTGATTGAGAGGAGACAATCAATATGAAATGTTACCTATTATGAAATTTGTTTTTCTACCTTCAACAAAAAAATCATTTTCTCATTTCTAAGATCGTCTTGTTATCTTAAAAGTAAATATTTTCTAAAAAAATTAACTAATCAACATGAAAAAATATATATATTTTTCTCCATACCAAACGCACACTAAGAATACTATTACTTCTAAAAGCTGCCATACTTTTATGTCTCTATGCATAGCTACCTACTAAATGTCAATAAGTTTCAATCTACCTGTAACACATTATTGTCTTTTGGCCAAAGTTCATGTGCTCTATGGACTATAGCTAGCTTTATAGTCATCACCAAGAAGTTGATCATTGTATGGAAT